GAGAAGTGGTTTCTTTCTGGCATTATTTCCTAGTTCTTCGATTGATTGTGTGGCAAATGCTGACTGCTCAAGCGATGTCTATCTTGAACTGCTCGCCCAATTCCGTGAGAGGTTGGTTTTATACACGCTGCAAAGTTGTCTATCACGGTGTTAGGCTTCTGTGAGCCTCTAGAGTAAACATTCGTCTATCTTTTGTGTATGTATGTCGTCTGAAGCCTTGCGGTGATATCTTGACAGGAATCGATATATCTTAATTTACTTCTATTGCATGTAGACACCTTATATGACTAGATCCACAATTCTCATATTTATGTTATACTTTTTATAGGCTATAAGATGGCCTACCCTGTTCTTCGCCTTTTGGAAAGCCTGATACAGCACTATTTGTCGCCCATTGTCTCATGCAACTATTCAATAACGATACAAATCTCATCCCGGCTGTTCTGGGACGTTCACTTAAAGGTTAGGAACCAATTATGCCTGACATTCGCATATGTTAATGTCTGTCTTTGTGCCACTGGTCTGTTGAAGGACTTCTTGACTTATGATCACAAAATGAAACGCGATTTACCCCGCAGTCAGGATGTGATTAAGAGAATGGTGCCCAGCGAAGGAGATGTCGATGAGACAAAGACAGAACACACCCTCGGATTGAGTTGGGAAGATGCTATATACAACCAGGCAGAAAGCAAGGTATTGATCTCCTCACTGGGTATCGTTTGTGGTAGACTATCACAGACAACGCTACACCTTGTGGCAGCTGCAATCAACTGGTTATACTAATAATGTTTACATGATGGTTAGAGCTTACTAACTTTGGTATAGCGTTGCTTAGATCCTAATCTGTATCACATGCACAGTCAAATTTAGAGTGATTGAGAAATTGTGTTTAGAGTTTACACGGCGCTGTTCCCAAAGGTTTGATGCACAACTCCGTGCACATCTGTTCAATCAAATGCTATATTGATTTCAGCTCTACATGCCTTTGCGCTTGACCTCTGCTCATAAGATGACATGCATTCTTCGATTGTCGACTGTTAAGAGTTGTGTACGGGAGTTTTCAGGTAGTGGGATACTGAAATGAGCTCATTTGTACGATATCAGCGGGTGGTTTGCTCACAACTCTTGCTAGTTCCACTACATGCGTTATAACCAACGAACTATATCTTGCAGGACCATTACAATCAGCTTATCACGGAAACTGTTGCAAACGGCCAAGTTTTGTTGGCTCAAGGTATCAAAGAAGAGAATCAAGCTTCAGCTCAGACTTCAAAACCAAGCGATCCTGATACAGTGCTAGAGACAAAAGAGGGTACACTTGGGGAGGTTGCTATGCCTGGTACGTCCTGTTTGCAGTATACTCACATATGTATATCTTTATATGCGTCTTTCTTTGCTGGCAGTCCGGCTTGTTTCATTTGATTGCAGCACCATTCTAGTTTCGCATTACGTGTTTCATGAGCGATATAGTATTACGAGTACGTGCGTTAATGATGTGACTTATACATCCCAATTTGAAGGACACCATGTATTGTTTCCATCGCAAAATGCTCGTATCTTCTCGTATGTAACCTCATACTGCTAGCATCCGAAAATTGGCCGAATATAGCCCCGCGCCGCTATGCCTTTTAATCATTTGCTTGTCGGTGTATATTGTTTAGCAAGATTCGTTGTTACTTCGCAGGCTTGTGTGTTCTCGTGCGTTCTTCGGCAATAAATTGACGTACAATGAACTATTTTTTTATTCCAGCTCCACCAGCGCCGAAGAAGATGTACATGAGGCTCGAGATTGCAGAGGGACAAACATTCACTCGTGAGCAAAGTATAGAGATCCTGAAGCAGCTCAAATTCAGGAATATGCTTTCGGTTGAATTAGTATGTTAGAGCAGACTACCTTTATCCACGCAATGTGCTAGTGTTGATTTGCTTCGCGTGTGGATGAGCCTTAGGGGGCGGCAATGACTGAGCATATATATACTCTGTACATCAACACATGATTTCTGTGTGTGTCATGTATTCGTAAAATTGAATATCCTGCAGGGCATACATACATCGGTACTCTGATATACTTGCTTGTCTTGTGGTTGGGCAACGCATTCCTCAATCGTTTCGTGGAATGTATGTACGAAGCCTGAAACACGTGACCACTCGGATTTGTGTAGCGCTGTGGTAAAAGTGAATTGGCATTCTGCTGCTATTATTTTCGTTTTTAAGGATCAAATTACCTTCACTTTGATTGTCTTTGAAAAAAATGGAAGATTTGACAGACAAGGCCTTGTGTGATTTTTAAGCTTAACAACAGTTCCCTGTGATTCTTTATATCTCGTGCATTTTATTTGGAAATATAACTCATTCCGAGGTTCCTAGGCTTGATTTTGTTTTGTTTTTTTATACCACCCCACTTATTGGCTATTAAATTTGCACCACACATTTCCAGTGCGCGCAATTACATACGGATTTAACTGATCTGGATGGGAAGAGGGAGGAGATGGATGTCAAA